CTCTCTCTCTCTCTCTCTCTCTCTCTCTCTCTCTCTCTATATATATATATATATGTATGTGTGTATGTATAAGAAATAAGTAGTCAAACAACGTTGTTTACTTTTATCTTTTGCTTTATCAGTATATTTACAATAAATGTGGCATCTTTGCCTTATCCCTCTTAATAAGATCCTGCTGGTTTTTATTCTATTGGTATAACAAGGGTGTGGGGGATGCTGCAGCATTCCCAGTTTTGTGTGGGGTCCCAGCCCCGTGCCCTGGGGTCCACTACTGGCCCTACATGTAGGGTCCCGGCTGCCGCTGGACCCGTGCCCGGGGCTCTGCTCCCAGACCTGAGCTGTCAGAGTGCCTCCATTCCCTACCACTATACTATCAAGGAACCTGTGAAAGTTATGTATCACAGTTCAGCCTCTTGCATATTTTGTTTCCCCTCAGAGTTGGCAAAATATGCTTGCCATGGGTACTGGAAATGCTTGTGGGAAGCATGAGGATAGTAGCTTCTCTTGCAAGGCAAATCTGAACAAACCTGGTCAGTGATCTCCCCACTGCCAAACTTTCTCCTACCGCCCTGCAATGCAGGCTGGGTCATTCAGGCTGACTGAGTGGGTGGCACAAAGAATGTGCCAAGAACTGCCCTGTGCAATGTGGTGGTTGGGAACTGGAGGGGTGGGGTTTGCGGGGAGAGGTGGGCACTAGTGCATAGAGGTTTCCTGTTAAATTCGGAGATAGTGGAACCTACAAGATGACTTATACACGGTCTAGATGAGGTGCCTCAACTGTCCTTTCACTATTTGTTGTGCTTTAAGAGCTTTCTTCTCAAAGTATATGGAAAGTGGAAGTGTCTTACAGCTATAAACCTGCTCCCTCTAATATGCAAGTTGTCTGGTGATTTTGGAAAGAGGACTTTTCCTGTCAAAAGCTGAAGTGGCAGCTCAGTCCCGGACCTGCACTCGGGGTCAGGAACGGCGCCAGAGTTTTTGGCGCCCTAGGCGGGGGTCCTTCCGTGCTCCCAGTCGTCGTCAGCGATTCTGCGGCACGGGGGGTCCTTCCGCGCTCCCGGTCTTCGGGGCACTTCGGCGGCGGGTCCCGAAGTGAGTGAAGGACCCGCCGCAGAATTGCCGCCGAAGACCCGGAGCATGGAAGGACCCCCCGCCGCTGAATTGCCGCCGAGGGTGGCAGAATGCTGCCCCGCCAAATCCTGGTGCCCTAGGCAACTGCTTAGGTCGCCTAAATGGAAGTGCCGGCCCTGCTCGGGGTTCCAGCTGCTGGCCCCATACCCGGGGTCCTGGCTGCTGCTGGCCCCTCACTCAGGGCTCTTTTCCTGGCCCTGTACCCGGGGTCCTGGCTACCGCCGGCCCCTCACTCAGGGCTCTTTTCCTGGCCCCGCACCCAGGGTCCTGGCTGCAAGGCCCACACCTGGGGCTCTGCTCCCACCCCCAGCTGTGGTCCCAGTCTCAGCCCCCTTACCCCTGTCCGTGTCCCCCTCCTCCCGGAGCCAGCTCTGGGGAGAGGGGGCACAAACAGGGTAAAGGGGGGGTGCGAGGTAAAAAGGTTGGGGACCACTGGCTTTCAGAATCCCCACTGTAAAAATTGTTCTAGCGCCACTGCTTGTCTTTCTCTGGTTTGTGAATCACTCAGAGCTTGCGGGGAGCAGAGTGGCAGCAGGGCTCATGCGCCAAGACAGACACTTAGGCACTGAGTGAGTTTAGGGGCCTACAGGGTTGAGGCTAATGTTGTGCAGTGGAGAAGCACATCTGAGATTTAGGTGCCTAAGTCGGGAGTGTAGGCACCTGAGTACCTTCAGGGCTCAGGGTCCGGGCCATTGTAACTGTAACAAGAGAACCGCAGGCATTTGAACTTGGTTAATCTACATCGTTCAGCAAGAGCAGCTCTCCCTGCTTCCCAGCAGAGCGTTCCGAGCCTTCACTATTCTTAGCAAGGCTTCTCCTGAACATGTCCCAGGACATCCCAAAGTGTGAGTTTAAACAATGAACAGGACACAGCCAGCTCCAGCTTGGCTCAGAAAGCATATGGCTCATTCTCAGGCCAGCAGGACAGGGGTGTGTTATGTTTGATTCTAAAGGAAATAACTATTTTTGTCCCAAAGCCATTCCCTGCATGTGTGACCCCAACATCATAGCCTTCAGAACCCTGGAGTGAAACTGACGATGAACAAGAGGGAAACTGACTCCCACTGTGCAGCATCAACCCAGAGAAGACAAAGGCAAAGCCAAGAAGCAAACAAACAGCAGGCACCCGGGTGGGTGTTTAGATAACCTTAGCATGTGAATAGGCTACAATGCTCTTAGGGATGAAGGCAAAGTAAACATGTTTGTTTCAAGCAGGATTTTTCACCTGACAATGTCGCTTTAAGACAACACCACAGAGGGGTGCCAGTGTAAATGAGTGAGTCTACTTTGCACCACAGTCCTCATGCCTTGGTTGTGTGGGCTCCAAGAGTGCCCAGATTGCCAACCCTTACTCCCCGAGGAACACCACTGGAGTCTATAGGGCATTGCGCTGAACAGCGACCCAGGCTTGCTCAGTTGCAGATTCCTTTATTTGCACTTGCTTCAGTTCTAACGTGGGGACGGGTGAGTTGGTAGGCAACAGCAGTCCCAAATGCCCACCAGCATTTAATTTGTAATGAAAGAGATGCTGGGGCTCAAGCCATTTTTTTACATTCATAACTGATGCAGGAAGCCCAGAAGTACCAGCGCTCTGAACGGCCAAGCCTAGAGGTGCCGGTGCTCAGGCCTGGCACAGATAAAGCACAGTTGCCCGTAAATGGGTACTCATCAGAAAATGAGGCTGAACTACTTTCTGGGCGCTGTAGTGCTTCAGTGTAGCCGCTCACTGCTGCAGATGGGAAGGGTTCTCCCATTGCTGTAGTTAATCTGCCACCCTGAGGGGTGGTAACTCAGTTGACAGAAGAAGTCTTCCCTCAACCTAGTGCTTTCTGCACCAGGGGTCAGGTTGGCTTAACTGTGTCGCTCAAGGGGGCGGATTTTTCACACACCTGAGTGACGTAGCTGGATTGACCTAGCTTGTTAGTGTAAACCAGGCCTAAGTGACACCAAGTCTTCCAGGAGTCTAGAACTAGCTATGCTGCAAACACATCTGTGTGTGCAGATGTTCGTGTATGTGGGCGTGCATGCGTGTGTACGTGTGTTGTCATGTGTGTACACACATGTAGAAACTTGGCACTAAGCAGCTTTAGTGAAACACGTTAAGGCAGATTTGTACCCTCCAAACACACAAGGAGATTGAAAGTGGCAGAGAGACCCCTGGCCATAGCGGGGATTTGCCCCGGCAGCACTGTGTCCAGTGAAGGGAGGGGATGAGAGTGGGTGCTGATGGGGAGTCCCAGCACCGGGGGACAAAGCATGCTGTTGCTGTGGCACTGACTGCACCTGCACTGGGCTCTTACCTTGATTTTCTGCACTGTCCGGCTCTCCCCCGGTGTCTGGCTCCACACCATCACCCCACCCTTGTTGTACTGGCTATGCCAGCCCTCCAGGCTCTCGCACTGGTCCCTGAATGAGCTGAAGTCAGAGTCGTCCGGGATATAAACCATCTCCCCTCCTCTCGACATGGAAATGAGCTTTGCCAGGTCCAGAGTGCTGTGGCCAGTGTGCGCCAACCTCCAGGGCCTGGAAAGTGGCTTTGCAGCACCAGGCACAGGACAGGTCTCTGCCTGGCCTGCTCAGAAACTTCCAGCTGCTGTCCTGGCTCTGCTCAGCTTTGCCTTGAGCTGGCTTCTCCGCTGTGCTGTGTCCCTGCCCTACTCACGCTGCCGCCCTCGCCCCCAGAGCCTGGAGTCCATCCCTCTGCTCTCCCCAAACCTCCCCTTGCCAGGAGCTGTGCGCTGTGTCCTCCAGCAGACTCCTACTCTCTCCGTTCCATAAACTGCACTGTGCAGAGTAATTATCAGGAAGGTTCTTTCTCTGTAATTGTTAATGCAGCTGCTGGGAGCTCAGATATCAGATAAGCTCTGCCGACTGGTATCCCATTTCCTGGCCAGCAGGATCTCTGCTCCTCTATTATTCAGCAGGTAACATCACACAGGTGTCTCAGATTTCTGCCCCCACCCCTTCCTTCCCTTCACCCGCTTCTGTCTCACAGGCTCTGGGTTTGACTTTGCAGCACTGAGTTACAGAATCAGCTGATCACCTGCTGGGAACAGCAGCCACCGAGTCTGATGGGACTCGCTGACTGCAGGGCATGGGTCAGAGGGGTCAGAGAGGGGACAGGCCTGCCTCGGCCAGCCTGCAGAATCACACCTGTCCAGGACAAACCACAAGGCTCTGGCAGTGGGTTCAAAGGCCAGGATGTCTTTTGCCGGCACCGCCTGTGGCTGAGGGGCAGGGCAGTGCTGTGTTGTGACCCCGAGAACCCCTCAGCACCAATTACAAAGGGTTCAAACCCTCTCGGCAGGGCCGGCTCTAGGCACCAGCAAACCAAGCTGGTGATTGGGGCGGCACATTTTTAGGGGCGGCATGGCCGGCGCCAGAATGCCGCCCCTAAAAATGTGCCCCGGCTGCCCTAGCTCACCTCCGCTGCTGCTGCTCACGCGCCACAGCACTGCTGCTCCCTCTCTCTCCCAGGCTTGAGAGCCTGGGAGGGAGGAGGAGATCCCGAGCGGCTGCAGCGTGCGAAACAGCTGATTTGCACGTCGCTGCTCCCCCTCCCTTCCAGGCTCTCAAACCTGGGAGAGAGGGGGAGACCCCGAGCGTCCGCGGCACGCAAAACAGCTGATTCGCGTGCCGCTGCTCCCCCTGCCTCCCAGGCTTGAGAGCCTTGGAGGGAGGGGGAGACTCCGAGTGGCCGCGGCGCGAATGCTGCTTCTCCCCCTCCCTCCTAGGCTTGAGAGCCTGGGGGGAGGAGGCAGGGCTGGGGATTTGGGGAAGGGGCGGAGCTGAGGCGGGGCCGGGGGTGGGGTAAGAAAAAAACGAGGGGGGGTGGCCAAAATTGTTTCTGCTTGGGGCGGCAAAATTCCTAGAGCCGGCCCTGCCTCTCGGGAGCTGCCACCTGATGTGCCAAGACTACCTCTGCTCCTGCCTTCCTGCCCTGTCAGCTTAGGACTTCAGTGCCCTGCTTGGTTTGAGCCAAACTCATTAGCCTGCTGCAAACCCAGACCCAGGTCTGAATCACATCCCCTAACAGGAGTAGATTTACCTGAAAGCAGCTAACAGAAGTGTTCCTGTCTTTAACACTTAGATGCCCAACTCCCATTGGGGTCTAAACCCAAATAAATCCATTTTACCCTGTATAAAGCTTATGCAGGGTAAACTCAAATTGTTTGCCCTCTATAACACTGATAGAGAGATATGCACAGCTGTTTGCCCCCCTGCCCCCCAGTATTAACACATACTCTGGGTTAATTAATAAGTAAAAAGTGATTTTATTAAATACAGAAAGTAGGATTTAAGTGGTTCCAAGTAGTAACAGACAGAACAAAGTAAGTCACCAAGCAAAATAAAATAAAACACGCAAATCTATGTCTAATCAAACTGAATATAGATAATCTCACCCTTAGAGATACTTCAGTAAGTTTTTTCCTCAGACTGGACACCTTCCAGGCTTGGGCACAATTCTTTCCCCTGGTACAGCTCTTGTTCTAGCTCAGGGGTAGCCAGGGGATTCTTCATGATGGCTCTCCTTTGTTCTTTTCCACCCATTTATTTATCTTTTGCATAAGGAGGGAATCCTTTGTCCCTCTGGGTTCCCACTCCCCCCCCTTCTCAATGGAAAAGCACTAGGTTAAAAATGGATTCCAGTTCAGGTGACATGATCACATGTCACTGTAAGACTCCAAGCCTTCATTCCGCCCAGCCTGACTAACAGGAAGGCCTGTAAGCAAACAGAGCAATCCACAGTCAATTGTCCTGGTTGATGGAAGCCACCAAGATTTCATTACCATTAATGGCCCACACTTTGCATAATTACAATAGGCCCTCAGAGTTATATTTCATATTTCTAGTTTCAGATACAAGAGTGATACATTTATACAAATAGGATGACCACACTCAGTAGATTATAAACTTTGTAATGATACCTTACAAGAGACCTTTTGCATGAAGCATATTCCAGTTACATTATATTCACTCATTAGCATATTTTTATAAAATCATATAAAGTGTAACATCACAGTCATGTAACCGCAGCACCTAACACACCTGACAAACTCGCTACACCTAACACATTGCTGTCATGGTATTTATCTACAACGAATGTTGTGTAAGGCCAGACCTGCGACTGGTCGTCAATATCACTGTGAAATGTACGTACTGACACTTACATGAGGAATTATGAATACTCACTGATATTATGCTTTATAGTCTGTAACCAAACAAAGGGAGAACCAGGTTTTCCCCCAGACAAGAGGGCGGAGGGTTACCGCCCTGTCTAGTGAATGTTTTTTAGCTGCTGCCTGTGTTAATCTCACTTATAACATCTGTATCCCATACTGCACATGTGTCAAACTCAAGGCCCGCGGGCCACATCCGGCCCGCCATACAATTATATCCGGCCCGCGAAATCGTTTTATATATCTGTTTTTAATGGCCCTGTGATATGACGCCCCAATAACACAC